GGCTACTGCCTTTGTGGCGAGCCCATACTGGGGCCTGCCAAAGCGTTAGTTCTGTCTGACCCCCATCAAACATTCACGAAAGTTGCACTCAACTACAATATATCATTCCTTAACCAAAGACAGGTAGTACTTTGATTGTCATGCATCATGTAGTGCTCGAATATATTGCAGTACAGCTTTCTATGTAAATTAACGATGCACATCGATGTTAGCTCGGTAAAACCACTCAGCGGCGTGTGCGTATGCGGCATCAGCGTAATATCAGATAGACGTCTCTCGTAATGCCGGCATTATCTAGCACTCTAAAATGCCATTTATCTCATAGCCATCAAAGGCAACTACATCCTTCGTTTTGTGTGGAACAGTTTTAGAGGGATCAGAATTAAGGTACCTGACTACTACACCAGTACTCTCCAGCAAAAGGCTTTTGTGGGGAACTTGCGGATGCCAAACAACAAAACTGGAATCTACTTGTTAACACCCGTATGATCCACGAATTACATAAACCAGAAAGGATACCCAATATAGAGAAGAAGCATAAACTCGGATCATGGGAATGCATGGGGCCGGAATTGTTGGTATGGTTACTGACTAATCCGAACCCAGATCTCGCTTCTCACCGTTTCGTGATGCGGGCTTATGTGGAACAAAAAACTCACATTACAAAATGCAGTTCACAGGTAAATTAGCATAGTATTACTAGCATGCTCCAAATTAAGAGCATGCAGCAATTTCTGAGATAGTCGTGGAATAGCATAGGCTTTTCCACACTGCTACCGTGGCTTGTTGCGATGAAACCATGTAAGATATGCCTCAATATGTAGACACCAATGCAACTCAGGAAGCCTTGAAATATCATGTGAGGTTCCAGCAAAGTGTTTTGGAAGCTGCGTGGCTAGACATGCATGAAGGTAGCGTACTGTCGTTCTGATCTTCCTATTGATTGCAAGTCACCTGGTTTCTAATCTGGTTTCATTGTCATAGTCAGTGGAGTCAGTGGCATGGTGGGTGCTAGAAAATAGGACGCAGGCGCAGAGCATCTGCGTTGCGGTGCGTCTGTAAGAATGATCATTTTTAGACATCTTTGCAGTGCAACAACCTTACGCCCTAGGCGAAAGAATGGCAGAAGTGCTAGTAGCGAGAAACATGTGTACGTCGTAGAGCACGACAAGGAATACAGTTGTAAAAGCCGAAGCATATCTGTTTAAAGAATTGCAGATATGCCCATAACAAAACATATAAAACTCAAAAAGTCTCCGCTAGCACCGGATACGGGAACAGCCACACAGCATATGCATGCAAGTGCTACGCTCAGCTTCACTAGTGTCGAGCTTCCTTCAACAAGCCCCTACTACATGCATGTAGAACAAACCATGAGAAGCATACCAACTTGTTCGAACCTAATCCGCGTGACCGCAAATGACTCAAGCTCGAGGGAGGAACCAAACTGTGAGATGGTACAAAAAGCAGCCGTAACCAACATTAATGTACACGATATCCCCAGGAAGACGTTTCACAAAGTTCATGTTAATGAATACGACAATTGAATAGGAAGGACCCCCAGCTCCGTGTATTTTCCTGCAATATTTTGAAAAAAAAGGCATTTCGACAAACCATTAACAATCATGCCGAATGGCATGACGGTAAAGGGTAGAACAATAAATAGGGACAACGTGAAGGATATAATTTGTCACAGTGGAACTCATCGCTAAGCGGCGTTCGCTGTAGGTATTTAAAGTAGAGCATGTGCTACTCGGCCAGCTAGCAATAGAATATATACAAAGGGGAAACTGTAATGGTGTTTTGGTGGCTACAGAAGCGGTAGGCAGTTACTAAGTATATAGCGCTGCATACGAATGGTAGTTTACGGCTTTACGGCTCAATCCTAGTCAACGCATTCGTCACTAGTGTTATGTGTCCTTTCACGGTACATCAACCAGCACCTTAGTGGACACAAAACACTGTTCGTGTAGAGCGATACACTTCTTTCCTCCCTGCAGTACAACTAATATGGCTTGCATCAGTTTTTTGTACCCACTAATTTTCACACATGGGCCCTGGAGCGCTTGATGGTTTGCTGTTTTCAACATGGAATCTGCAACTCAGGCTTTCAAATATGCTCTGCCTCTCTAAATCAGCTCCCAAGTTTATTTGAAGTAATTTCTAAAGCTACTATACGCCACTCGTGCAGGCTTGCACTATCACTACCGGCTACATCCCCAATGATCACACTAGTACCAAAAAGTACGGACATGCCTAGACTTCCGCTTGTAGCATCCAAATGGCTTCTTTTTTAAAATGTACAAATTCATGCATCTGCAATTTTCGTGCGAAGGATGCAAGCTATTAGAATCTGTAAAGAAGAAGACGTTTTAATTTGTTTTCTTTGCTTCTCCATTCTACTCGAACATGAGCTCGCCGGCAGAGTAGAAAAGGGTATTCGCGGTGTTCAACGCACAAATCACGAGCTTCAAGCATAAAAAGTCATTCGGAGCACAGCTAGCTGGACGGAAAATCGGGGGACAGCAGTCAGCTTATCAATGACTCAAAAGCAGCTAACTTGTATGTGCTTAGAGATATCAGCTCATACGTTGTTGTGCAAAAGCTGTACCAAAAGCTTACTCCTTTATATTTACCAACCAGCAAAGAAAACCACCCCAATTTCATGCAATGTCGAAGTTTAAGGCTTCGCCGCGACTGCATGTTACATTGTGACCTACAATAGGAAGACATAGTCCCACGTCAGGGGGGATGACGATTCTTGCTATGTGAAACAGGCACCAAGACTGCAGATGGAGAATATAGGGGTAATAATGGTCAGATTCCTTCATCCCTTCACGAGAAATTTACACTGCCCGTGCTAGCCAACACGCTGTCTCAGCAAACCTCTGGCAAGGCAAATCTTACACACTACACAGAGACTTCCACCACGTCAAAATGACTTGTTGAAACATTTCCACGGCGTTCGCTCAAAGAAGCCTTCGAGATCACGATAATACTGGCTTGCAAGCGGTTTGGGGGAAGCTCCCTCAACCGCAATTTAAATTGGTAGTGACCGTAGAATAAATAGAAATTTCTGGAATTAAAAGCAAGGACGCCGAAAATATCATAGGAACCTGCAGAATCTCTTTGAAGCGCATTTCATCGTTGGCGCTAATCAACAGACATTTTAGCAGGAAGGTCACCAGTAACTGCAGGTGCTGTGCTATACATTCCACGTTCTACTTGCCCCCATGTTTTTAAATACGACCATTTGATTAACGCATGTGCATCACGACCCCCTAGTTTACCGGAACATAGATATCAGAAGATCTGATGTAGCTTGGCACGTTACTCGAGGCCATCCCCATTTCTCTCTTTAGCACAGGTGCTGCAGTCTAACTGGGCAAAGCAGGCAGAAACAGCTAGTTACTCATTGCACTAGTTTAAAATGACCATACATACACGCTAACAATATGGGTTCAGCCGCAAACATCGACGAAATAAAAGATTCCGGTATATCTTTATATCATAACTCGTCCTCCCATTCATCCAGCGAGTTCCTAAGTTAACCAAGAGCCACGTTTCTTGTAGCACGGCCTTTAATCTCTTTCCAGCAGACCTATCAATGTATTCACAAAAACTGTCACTGAACAAATCGATATACTTTTCTCCTTAGCCTGCACGAGACAGTAGCCTTAGTGCTATCTGATTCTGGAGAACAATTAGGGCTCAACCCCGCCGGGCTGTCAACCTATAAGACAGCTGCCCCACGCTGGTTGCAAGCACACACAGCGACATGACTTTTAGGTGTAAACCATGTTTTACACACCCACAGTGACCGCAGAGCCCGGTTCTCCGTTCTTATGCCTTACGCATGATTACGACGGCACATTCATACTAGCTGCCACACTAGACGAAAAGAGTGGTGTGGAAAATTGCACTGCATACCGTCTATGGATACCGTTGTATACTTTACTCACAAAAATATCCTTATCTTTTGAGGTTACAGAATAAAAGAAAAAGACACAGAGGCATCAGATACTCCGCTATATACCATCACTCATTCAAGGAACACAGCCACTCAGTCAAAAAATGGACAATATCGAACACAAGAAAACATTTAAAAATTGCTGTTCTCGCAATGGGGCAACGAGGTTCATCCACAGCCAAACGCTTACGTAAATGTCCTACTTTTTGCACTCACTGTGGCTGCTACTTCTTGGTATGCGGAGCTAAAACACATGTGATGTGACCCTTTGTGTGTAATATAAATAAGGGACAGGCAGAATGCCCTATCGGCTGTACCCGACCAGTACAAAACAGACAATGAACTTCAGGAAGGGACGTGACATGGATCAACAGCAGAGGGTAAACACTAGTTTACTTCATTATGTGTGCAGCTGGCGGCAACGTAAGGCAAGACAGGGAAAAGTGTGCTAGTGCCTATGCCGACAGTAAATTTTGAACTTACCGTAACCCGGCATCCAATACCGATTACTCTGCAGAAGCTCAATTAGCTCTAAGATCTTGTGGAACAGTTTTCCCAGACGCAACCTCCTGAAAATTTATGGTTCTAAAGAACAGGCTAGGGACGGGGTGCATGGGCAGTTGAAACATTATGACAAAGCCGGAAGGTAAGCATAACCGGAAACAGGGTTACATATCGATACTTTGATAAGAAATTGTGTGATACCTTCATGAACAAAACCTAGTACTCTTTGGCTGTTTCCAAGGGTGCCTTACTTGAAATTAGTAATCCTTTACGTGTACTAATACACCCAAAGCAGCCAGAAGAGAAACCACCAGGCGCAGACTAAGCACTAGTGTCTGTAGTCGAACCTAGGCTGTCGCATGGAATGGTAATGTTTTTAAAGCCCACATTCCACTATTTACATTAAATGGATGCGGGCTACGTGCTTGCTGTTCCCAAACTTTAGGCAGTTCACTTTTTTAAAACAAACTAGTGATGCGGGGAGTGTTTCTTCGCCAAGCAATAACAAGTATGGCGTCATAGGGTGGCCTCCTGTGGAAGTGACATTCGATAAAGTTGGAACGATACAAAGACGACTAGCATGGCCCTTGCCCAGGAATAACACGACAAACGCATACTTCTGATTGAGGCATTTCAAGGTATTAAATTTCCATAGGTCAATCCCAGTCGCCAAAACACCTTCCCCAAAATATACTCCCGTAAAAACACCACCAAAGATCTGAGGGAAGGGCTACATTTGGAACTTTATGCACTGACACACATACACACACACACACAAATCAATGCCAGTAACGTGCATTGTAGTAGTACTATAGTCTGGAAAATACTTAGTCTCTAATCCAACTCACAGTGGCTTGAGCAGGTAAATGTCTCATGTCTTTTATGTAGATACTCACGCATTAGTGCTTAGATGGCAGAATGGGAAGGTCTAATAGGGACGACACACCAATTATGTAAGAGGCAACGCGCGGCTTACATCATGCAATGCCTACCAGCCAGAAATGGCAGCATTTTAAGCTTTTCAAAAGCCGTTGTTGGCTACTTCTAGCGACGCCTGCAGAATCTATAGGTTACGAAACTTAGATAAAACTTTAACACATTCTAAAAATGCAGGGAGTTGACTCATGTGTGCATCAGTGCATCGTGTGTGTGACAGGGCCTGTGCATCACTGTGGAATGTGGGCAAATGCATGGGACAAATTCAGAGTCACACAGCTCACACTAGGCGGCTTGATCAAAGCATGACACCCATGTAGAGAGATGCTAGAAATCAGCAATGAGAACAATCACCGTGCATCGGCTGCCTTCATTGAAAGCGCTCGTCCTCCATCTTCCATAATGTGAATTGTGCACTAGTAATATTTTATTTTGTATGCTGTTCAGGAAAAAGTATTCAAGCTTTTTATCAGCAGGAACTCACATACCGAGAATTGTACCGTACAGCAAAACAGATAGAAGTATTTCCTGGCACAGCATACCCTGATACATTCACCATATCTCTAAACCTCCGTGCACAACCTCTTTGCTGCTCAATCAACTGCCTCCAAGCGCCATGGATTTGTCAGAATATTAATGTGAAGCTAGGCTTCCACCTTCAATCATTCAGAGTAACTGATCTGTAAACAAGCCACGCTGCACTCCGAACAGCCACTTTAAAAAAAAATTCCTCATAATGTGAAGATGTACATAACGAAGTAGATGAATTCAAATGTCACAAGCATGTGCATTCTACTGCGTTTGCTTTGACCTTCCTGTGAACAACAAGTGCAGCAGAATTGTTTTGAGCATTTGTTCTTGAGAAATTCAGTGGTGCCATTGTCCCATCATCGGCTACTGCCCTGCACGCAGGTGCTCCTGTCGAGAGACCTCATTAGGTACAGCTGCAAATAGAAACAGGCGCGAGCTCTTACCGACGCCTGGTGCCAGTATCTTTGCAAACTGCAACATACTGACTTCAAGCAATTACCATCAAACGAGCAATTACGATTATTTTCCTCGTATGACGATTGCGAGGATACATGACTGGTATTCTTTCATTTAAATATGAAATAGATCAGATGCTCTCTTACTGACTGATGTTCGCATTTCTATTACTGCGGTTCGCTCTCGGCACCATATACGTACGCGTGGGTGTCGAAAAAATTTCCCTGCCATTTTCAACAGTCCTTAACTGCAGCAAAGCAACAGGTCATACCAAGCATGTATATGCAAGCAACCACTTATAAATAGAGTAGCCACGAAGCACGTTGCATTCAGTGATCTCAAAAATCTATTACGTACGCCAAATACCAATGTGTAAATTATCAAGAGAGCTGTGATTCCACAGTTATACATAATACACAAGGGTACCAAGCATGTATATGCAAGCAACCACTTATAAATAGAGTAGCCACGAAGCACGTTGCATTCAGTGATCTCAAAAATCTATTACGTACGCCAAATACCAATGTGTAAATTATCAAGAGAGCTGTGGTTCCACAGTTATACATAATACACAAGGGGTTGCACATATTAAGATGGAATATGAGGTGAACCGAGTTGGGAATACCCGGTAACCTACTACCCTATCTAGCTGCAAAGTAACTGGGATATGCCAGAGCATTGTGCTGCTGAGACCATATTGTGGGTCCTTCCAGTACTTTAAAAGCTGGACATTTCATACAAAAGGCAACCTCCTTTTCCTAACCAGAAGATCTCCGCATCGAGCCACGCCGACTGTGTGTGGCGCCGTCGACAAAAATGGACTGTCTACATATCCGCCCCCTGTTTTAACCAGATTTACTGATTCTCTTCGCATGAAGTAAAATGTGTCTGGATTTAAATAGGTAAGCCCATAGTCGACTACACACTCATACAAACATCGAGGGGAAGCATGAAAACGGATGTTTTTGAAAGAATGCTTACTAGAAGGTTGAAGACGTCGGGGCTTGCCGGTACACAAAATCGAGACTGTTGCTGTCAAGGATTGCACGGCTCTCCGTGACACCTGATTCCTGGTTCATACAATGCATGCAGGTATGTAGTGTCGGTCTGTTGCTTGATCTGTGTGGCGCAATGCAAAAAATTACTCTTCTAGAGCAGGAATCTATGCAATTAGCTGCGTGATGGCTCTTACCCATAAACAACTCCCGAAAGAGAACTCGCATAGGTTTTCAACTAGATACAGGCTGTCTATAGATTTTCGGAAGGCTGCGATGTTTGCGATTGATGCTGTTTTTGCGTAAGATACCTGCAGCATGTCAATGAGGCCTAGGCACCTAAACGTGCCGCTGGGGAGTCTTCACACACAGACGCATAGCATGTTCTTGTGCAGGGCAACGCTTTAGGGTTGACGTATGAGGGAGGCACAGCTTGTTAATAGTAGTTCTATAGGCACCTCCCTAGAATTATTCAAAGTCACCTGATGAAAATCTTGAAACGACACCGAATGCCTAGACTTCGAGATCTCCCAGTTCCGTACCATGGAAATGCTGCAGCCTGGAGCAGAAGGAATCATCTTAAAAGGGTCTTACACATTACACCTTCTGCCCCGTGATTCAACAGCACCTGAATAACGACTTTGATCGTCAGTGGTTCTGGTGGGCAGAGCAAAACGTTTAAGGTCTTTACCGCCCCTCCTGCGTATCAAGAAACACTTTGCTTTCTTCCAAAGAACCTCTAGGTATAAAGGCACGCCGCCATAGCCGCCTGATCGGTTTTATGGCACGGTACAAAGCGATTTGGCAGCCGAGAGCTCTGCTCACTCTTAACAGAAATCTGACACACGCTTCGCATTTGTTCTTTGACTCCACAAGCCTTCCCTCCCTCCATCGCTGTTGTACACCTCTACAGAGCTCGCCTCGCAATTTGCTGACAGCAAATGGATCTTGGCACTGCGAAATCTTCATCAGACTGCAGCCAACTTACGCGCGGCCCGTAGTGCTTTGTCCGCCATTCGTCAAATCTCAATTCTTCAAGCGAGTACGTCTACTATAACAATAGGAGCTCTGTTGTAACCAAAGGTCGCATGCCCAATCGACACTGCCTCTGCAGTCAGCAATATGGTCGGTATTTGTCACTTTTGGAAGTGGAGTGAGCACCAACCTGATAGTGCCTGCCTCGAAGCCCCAAAATGCAAGCTTGATAAGCGTTCTCGATGCAACGGCGCGCAGAAGTTTTTGTTTCGTGCTTAGCTGCAGTTTTTCATCCTCACAGATGTACCCTTTGCAAGCCGTAGAGCAGTTAATGCTGGTGCAGTTTCTCTCAAATAACTAAAAAATCACTGTAAGTGATGCTTACTGAATACACCTCGTCCTATGTCTGGCATACCCTACCTACCCAGCCCTGGAATGCGTAACAGTAATCCCTTTACGGTACGCTGGCTGCTTGTTCACCTGTTAGCAGATGCGTTGTTTTATATAAGAGGGAAAGCCACCGGGTATGCGAATTGAGGGCAGAACGGAAAAGAAGCTATCGAGTACATCAAACGCAGTGCATGAGGCAGGCAGACTTGCTACATGCCACTCATGAGATATGCATTCGTTTCAACAAGCTGGCAAACCATCCAGCAGGGTGAAACGCTCATGAGCCCATATGGACAGTTGTGACAAACACCTACCGCCAAACGTCCACCGACTACGCTACACCTTCAAATCGCTGAGAGCTAGTACCGAAACCTTTTCTGGATGATCCCCGGTTGTTAAATCATGACTACCTGGCTCGGTACCGAGCATATTACAGTTTTTACTAGATCTGCCGCTCAGACATTTACACACTCACCAAACTCCAAACAATGAAACAGGCCTTCTATTGGACTTCACCAGGTGCATCCATGTTTGCGGGCAGCTACACAATGCACAGGTTAATAAGGCTCTCCCCTGACTGCAGTGCCAGTGATCGCCGTGCTGGTAGTGTCCCTTAAAGGAAAGCAGCAATGTCAGCCCGCATTCTATACACAAAGAAGCATTGAACGCTTTGTGCAACCCGCATCTGCATTTGATAAGCGTGGTAAACGCATTGCATGAAGATGGTAGAGCAGCTAAGCTGATGGCTACGCAACGTCTTTGAAACAGCCGATGAAAAACTGTATGCTGTGCTGAATGGCAATGCCATCGACTATGGCCGTGAGACTTAACCATGGCACTGCTATACTCTTAAACAAATCGCACTGTCCGGCAGCATTTCTCCTGCTAGCTTGCCTGCCACTAGCAGCTCAAGAGACAACAGATTTCAATTGTGGGGGCTACTACTTTTAGCTGGCGCTACTTTGCAGAAGGCGCGCTTACATTCTGGGTGGGCGGTCGGGAAGCGCTGCATTTTATTCGACGTCTGTTGGGCGCACACTTACACTACTGCAGGTAGGTTGTTGATATGGAGAGAGCACTAAGTGGCGGAGCATTTTGTGCCGTTCACGAGAAAATCAGTTTTCTAGCTCTAGACCTCAGAGTCATCCACTAGACCGGCTCCTGAAGGTAATACATTGTGCCTCTCGTTTACGCCCCACGGAGGCCATGTCGCGCACTTGTAGCCAAGGCGTAGCGTTTGTATGTTTGAGCCCCTTTCTGTTTGCAAGTATTTGTCTATGTCTGTATTTCTCTGCTAAAATCTTGCTAAGGTAGTGTCCTGCACTACACTTTCATTCGTCTACCAAGGAGC